TACAACATAGTGATTATACATTTATATATCTTACAAATTGATCACCCCAGCAAGTCTATACTTTTCTATATATTTGACACCATGCATAGTTATTACAATATTATTGATTATATTCCTTATGCTGTACTTTAAATCCCCACGACTATTTTTATAACTACCAAGCTGTACTTATGAGTCCTGTTACCATCCTCACCTAATCCCCCAACCTCCCTCCCATATGGCTACCATCAGTTTGTGCTCTGTATTGGTGAGTTTTTTGTCTGTTCTGTTCGTGTATTTATTTTGTATTTTAGATTCCACAAAAATGAAATCATACGGTGTTTGTCTTTCTATGTCTGACTTATTTCACTTTGGAAAATACCCTCTAGGCTCATCTGTGTTGTCACAAATGGCAAGATTTCATTCTTTTAATGGGCAAGTGATATCCCATTGTGTGTGTGTGTGTGTATCCTTCCTTATCCATTCATCTGTTGATGGACAGTTAGATTGCTTCCATATCTTGGCTATTTTAAGTAATTCTACAATGAACACAAGTGCTGCACATATCTTTTTGAATTGGTGTTTTGGGTTTCTTCAAATAAATACCCAGAAGTAAAAATTCTGTGTTACCTGGTAGTACTATTTTTTAATTTTCTGAGAAACCTCCATACTGTTTTCTGTAGTGGCTGCACTAATGTGCTTTTTCACCAACAGTGCACAAGGATTCCCTTTTCTCCACATTTTCACCAACCCTTGTTTTTTGTTGATTTATGGTTTCAGGTCTTACATGTAAGTCTTTAATCCATTTTGAGTTTATTCTTGTGTGTGGTGTAAGAAAGAGATACAGTTTCATTCTTTTGCGTATATCCATCCAATTTTCCCCAAATAATTTATTGAATAGACTATCTTTACCCTTGTATGTTCTTGCTTCCTTTGTCAAAGATTAATTGAACATGTAGGTGTGTGTTTATTTCTGGGCTTTCTATTCTGTTCCATTGATACACATGTCTGTTTTTAGTGCATTGCCATGCTGTTTTGATTACTGTAGTCTTGTAATATAGTTTGATATCAGGTAGCATGATACCTCCAACTTTGTTCTTCTTTCTCAAATTGCTTTGACTGTATTGGTTTTTTTGTGGTTCCATATAAATTTTAGGATTATTTGTTCTAATTCTGTGAAAAATGCCGTTTATATTTTCATAGGGATTTTATTGAATCTGTAGATTGCTTTGGGTACCAGTTGGCCATTTTAACAATGTTAATTCTTCCCATTCATGAGCACGGCATATGCTTTCATTTACTTGTATCCTCTTCAGTTTCTTTCTTCAGTGTCTTATAATTTTATGAGTATAGGTCTTTTACCTCCTTGGTTAACTTTATTTCTAGGTATTTTATTTTTTGATGCAATTACAATACAGTTGTTTTCTTAATTTCCTGATAGTTTGTTTTTGGAGCATAAAAATGCTACCAATTTCTGAACATTGATTTATATTCTGCTATTTCACTGAATTCATTTATTAGTGCTATTAATTTTTTGGTGGATTTTTTTTTTTTTTTTTTTTTTTTGGTGGTACGTGCCCCTAGCAGGAACTGAACCCAGGACTCTCTGGTCCACAGGCCGATGCTCAACCACTGAGCCAAACTGGCCAGGGCTGTTGGTGGATTCTTTAGGGTTCTCTACATATAGTATATATAGTATAATATTATCTGCAAATGACAGTTTTAGTTTGTCCTTTCCAGTTTTGATACCTTTTATTTCTTTTCCTTGTCTGATTATTGTGGCTAGGACTTTCAATACTATGTTGAATGAAAGTGGTGAAGGTGGACATCCTTGTTTTTTTCCTAATCTTAAAGAAAAAGCTCTCAGCTTTTTACTGTTGAATATAATGTTAGCTTTGGGTTTGTAATATATGGCCTTTATTTTGTTAAGGTATAGACTCTCCCACTTTGATGAGAGTTTTTAATTAAAAAATGGATGTTGGACTATGTCAAATGCTTTTTCTGCATCTGTTGGTATGATCATGGGATTTTTATCCTTAATTTTGTTTATCTTATCGTGTTATTTGATTTATGGATATTGTACCAACCTTGCATCCCAGGAAAAAATTTCACTTGATCATGGTGTATGACCTTTTTAATATATTGCTGGGTCTGGTTTGCTAATATGTTGCTGAAGTTTTTTTGTATCTATCTTCATCAGGGATATTGTGCTACATTTTCTTTATTTGTAGTGTCTTTGTCTGGTTTTGATATGAGGGAAATGCTGGGCTCATAAAATGACATTTGGATCCTTCCTTCCTCTTCAAGTTTTTGACATTGTTTGAGAAGGATAAGTAGTAATAACTCTTTGAATATTGGTAAAATTCACCTGTGAAGCCATCTATTTGGTCCAGGGCTTTTGTTTGTTGGGAGTATCTGATGACTGTTTTGTTTTTATTAGTAATTATTGGTCTGTTCACAATTTGTGTTTCTTCCTGATTCAGCCTTGGAAGATTGTATGTTTCTAGGAATTGATCCCTTTCTTTCAGGTTGTCCAGTTTGTTGGCATTTAATTTTTCATAATATTTGCTAGGTAATCCTTTGTATTTCTGTGATGCCGGTTGTCTCGTCTCCTTTCAATTATGTCTACATTAGTTTGCATCCTCTCTTTTTTCTTGATTAGTTGGCTAAGGGTTTATTCTATTTATTAATTTATTTTAAAGGAACAAGCTCTTTGTTTCACTGATATTTTCTATTGTATTTTTTTTGACTCTATTTTGTTTATTTCTGATATTGTATATGTGAGGGGTGGGGGGGTGGCCCTTTGGAGCTGGAGTTGCATAAGCCGGGATCTGGTGTCAAGGAGTACGCCCTTTGCATGTATTCTTAGTGGAGCTGGTTGGGTGGGCCTCTGGGTGTATTGATTTGGGAGGCTCTTAGGAGGGGCTCTGGTGCAAACCAAGGTCAGCCACTTTTTGTGCCTGGCTTGGAGTTGCCTGGTGGGAGCTACACCAAAGTGAATCTGCAGTTGACTTTAACTTGTGCTGGGCTTGGAGGTACTTGGGGGAGGCTGTGCTGCAAACTGACCAACTGTTGTCACCTGTGCGGGGACTCAGTGCAGGACCCGGTGCAGGGACCTGGTACCGGACCTGGTGCGGGGGCCCGGTGTGGGACCCGGTGTGGGACCACAGTGTGAGCTCTGGCCAGCTACCTCTTGTACTTGGTTTGTGGCCCCTTAGTTGAAGCTACATTCTAGGCTGCACTGACCATGGCTTATGCCAGGCTTGGGTCTCCCTGATGGGAATTACAATGCAGGTGGAGACTGGTTGCCACTCGGGCATGATTTGGGATAGCTTAGCAAGACGTGCAAGGCACTCTGAGGCCAGCTGCTGCGTGTTTGGGTTTTGTGGACCTTTGAGAGATTTTAGGAAATTGAGCAGTCCGAGCTGAGGGAGGCTGCTTGTATGGAGGAGACATTGGAAGAGGGTTAGTTGGGTATGAGTTGAGTGGGGTCTCAAGTAATCACAGGGGCGAGAAGGCCAACAAAAGAACAATGGGTCCTGCTGACACTTTGGTCCTGAAAGGATCTGCCCTGACGTGGCCTTGCTCTTCCAGCCTTGGCCCTAAGCTAGCCAGTGTAGTTCCGCCCTGTATGTCCTTGGTGCTCCCGAGCTGCTGCCTTTGCTCTGGAGCTCAGAGCCAGAGCGTTGGTGAGCAACTGTGCCTGTGCTCTGGCCCTTTAAAGTCTGTAGCCGCTAGGTCTCCAGCTCCCTCCGTCTCATTCAGATACACTCCCTGCTGGTTCTCACAGCCAGATGTGGTGGGGGTCCCACTGCCCAGCACTGAAGCCCTGGGCTGGGGAGGCTGATGTGGGCCTGGGACCCCTTTCTCCTCAGGGGATCTCTGCAGCCAAGACATCCCTCCCAATTCTTAATCACCACACTGTGCATGGGGACCTGCCTGCTCAGTGTCCACCCCTCCTACCCATCTTGACATGGCTTCTGCATCTCTTCAGTTATGGGACTTCTGATAACTGAAGAGATTATGGGACTTCTGTTAAGCTGCGTTCAGGCAGTTCTCAGTGACGGTGGTTCTGTAGTGTAGTGTAATTTCGATGTGTTTGTGGGAGGAAGTGAGCATAGCATTTACTGACTCCAGTATACTGACTGGATGCCTTAACCAGTTACTTAACAATTTACACATCAGTAAGCAAACCATGATTTTAAAATGCTTCGTGTATAAGAATGATACGGTTGACTCTAATGTGATCTTTGATAAACGGAAGTGTTTCACATTACTAAATGGAGACTTGAAGTCTGAATCACTTTATTATTTTGCATCCTCTCTACTGTAATTTCATAAATATATCTAATCTGGGACATCAAAATTATATGCACTCATCAGTTGAGCATTTGACACTGGATAGAATTATAAAAAAGGAGAGCCAAGTAAGTTACTATTGTTTTTATATCGCATTTCTGCAAAATTGTACACACATTTTTAGCTTACCTTTGCAGATAGATTGGATGTATCATTTTCTTTTTAGCAGATTTCACCAAGGAGAGATAAATCAAAATACTAATTATAAGTGTTAATTGATTTTAATTGTTTGCCAAAGATTCAGGCCTCCCTCTGAGTAGAATGCCTTGCTGTGAGCAGTTTCATATGGAAACCATGGTCATAGGGTTATTTATTTATTTAAACTTAGTCATTTTTTAATATTCTTCACATTCTTTCTGTGCTGACCAGTTGCACCGGCTCATGAAATAAGAATCTGTTGACTACGGCTCTTCTACCAGCACATCTTCAGAAATTACCTAAAATGTTATGAACCCTTTCTACTGTACTCTTTGATATATATACCCAAACTCGCTTTTGTAGATGAAAGAAGTTTGTATTGTAAAATAGCAGAGTGCTGAAATAAGCCAGAAAGCTTTTCACAAAACTCAGTTTACAAATAAATCTGATTGGAGCTGAATGAGATGGAAAAGCACCAGTGAGTGTCCCTGGGCTGTTAGGAACGTGTTGCTTGTTTTCTGTAGGACATCACCACTTTAACTGGCGTTCCGGAAGAGCACATCAAAACTAGAAAGGTCAGGATCTTTGTTCCTGCTCGCAACAACATGCAGTCTGGAGTGAACAACACCAAGAAGTGGAAGATGGAGTTTGACACCAGGGAGCGCTGGGAAAATCCTTTGATGGGCTGGGCGTCAACGTGAGTCTTTTCGTTTCACTTGAGTATCTTTTTCAGCTCCCTTTATCTCTGTAGGTTTTCCTTTGGAACGTACTGATTTTAAAACTCCTTCATGTACAATACTTTTTGAGTAGGTATCACTGTGTTCTATGACATAGACATAGATTTATATATAGTATATATATTTAATATTCATATAAGTGTGGCCCAGCAAAGTAAACCATAGAAACAGTCATTTTCAAATGACTAGTTATTGGATAACAGTGACTGACCTGTGAGCACTGTTGGCATGTCCCCCAGGCTCTGTGCATGACATGAAGATACACTGTGAGTACTCTCAATTATTAGTGACACTTTCACTTATTTTTCCATTAAAATAAAACTTTTTTTATGAAGTATGTTTTTGGTCATAAGGAGAGGAGACTAGACGAGATTAGATATTAGCTATTTTGAAGGAAACTTGTAATTTCCTGAGATTTGTGATTAATAAATGCACAGTGCATTGAGATGAAGTGGTCATAAATTCTGTGGCACCAGTGAAATCAGTGACCTAAATCTCTGTTGTGGAATATGGCCCAGACGGTAAATAGCAGAGCTACCTCTAGTTGAATACAAGTTGCCGCTTCTGGAGAAAACAGCCAGATGAACTAGAAAATTGTCATTCTTATTGAGACTCCTAGAATATTATATGTGTCCAGTTGAAGATACAGTTATCAGTTTCAGTTGTCTCACTGTAGAAAAGTGCGATATTTAACATTTTTTCCTTCGATGTATCTGGAAAAATTTTTGTTAAAAACATTTTCTGTGTTGCAATTTAAATAGAATTATGTTTTACTTGGCAAAATGATGTATAGGCACAATTTTTTTAGGTATTTTTTAAGTCACGTGAGATTTTAATGTGTTCATCTCTATGTAAGATTCATCATTGCACTATTTATTGATAGCATTTGGTTGATTTTCATTTGGGTCTATTAGGCATAATACTAAAATGAAGATTCTCGTACATATCTTTTGGTGAACATACGACTTATCAATATGCCAGTTAACCCCTGAAACATTATTTATCAGTTAATTATCAAACCTGTTTATGTTAAAAAGTAGTAACAACCTACTGATTTTCTATTCCTTATGTTTATCTAGTGAATAGCAATAGCAATATGATGAGTTTTGTTCTCGCAGACAGTCAGATTACTGATAGAAATTGTGGAGGATATAGTTTATGCTTTGTTAGGGGGCCTGTCTCAGGCTCACCCCTGGCCTTAGTTCTGGAACATAGGTTGAGAAACCAGAAGACCTAGCCTTTCGGAGGCTCTGATGGGAAGCACACGGTATTCACCAAGTCCTCCTCCTGACTCTGGGGCTCCAGGCTCCCCCTCCCCTGGAGTAAGTAGCCAGCTGCCGAAGTCTCTGCTCAGTTCTTTCAGCCTCGCAGTAGCTGTTTTGGGGCCTTGCTTATCCTGCACAGTTCAGAAGTTTCCCGCTCTGTGCGCTCCCCTTCGCTGTGCTCATCCCCGTTTCCAGCTGCTCCCACCGTCCTGAGCGCCGGCACCCTGACAGCGCGAGGTTTTCTGCTGGAGTTCTTGGTGCTCCTAGCCCTACGGCCTAGACAGCACCTTTCGAGGAAAAGTGTTGAACCTTGGTCTACTCCAGGCTGGTTCCTCCTTTCAAAGGTTAAGTCCTCTCCATTTTCCTCCCTGCTTTTGGTCACTCTGATTCCTTCAGTTATTTTGTTCCAAGTTTATCATTGTTAGGCCAGTCAATCTGATTTTAATGGCAGGTGCATCTGCCATTACCCAAATGGGAATTGCAGTCAATGAGAATGGAGTAAATAAAATCTAAAAATATAAACATAAATCATATTGCGTAAAGACTGCAAAGAGAGTTTACATACAGTTGGAGGGAGGGTAAGAAAGACTTCTCGGAAAAGGCTGGTATTCACTGTGAGCCAGGAGCAATGGCGAGGATGACTTCTGTAGCTGAAGCAGTGGTCTCCACTGTACTTCAAGTGGAGGGACAGATTAAGCTCGGGGAGCTATGGGGGCTAAAAAAAATTTTTTCTCTCTCACTTTCCAAGTTTTAGCTGGGCTACGAATCAAATTAAAAGGGATGGATTAATAGGAAAAAATCAAATTTTAATATCTGTGCAGGAGGAATTCACAGAAGCATGAAAATTCCATAGACGGTGAGACAAAATAGGGTATATGTATCCTTTTGGACAAATGAGAAGAGGGAGAATGGGATCTTAGATTTCAGAAGTGAAAACGAGCAATTTACTGGTAATTGAGGAAGAGTGAAGCGAGCATGGGAGGCACACTCCTGCCAGGGCGCCCAGAAAGTGGGGCACGGCCCCTGCCTGCAGCCGCCCCGCCCACCACCCTCCGCCGCCTTAGCCCCATGCAGACCTCATGCTTCTCCCCGGGCAGGCCTTCCCATCTGGGCTCAGGTGGAAAGGAGGGGGTCAGAGCTGCTTTCGGTGTCTTGTTTCATAATAACCAGCTAAAATCAATATCCCAAAAGGTATAGTTTTTGGGGTGGCAGAAATTTTTGCTCCCCTTCAGAATATACAAGCGACATTTAGAGGAACAGTTAGCAATCTGATACTCAAACAGTAACTGTTTTAAAGAGTGTATTCGAAATAAGATATTTCATCCGTACCATTCTTTGTTATTATAGCAACTGTTTATATTCTAAACATTTTACTTTATTTTAAGTATTGATTGTTTTTCAGCCAAAATTTAATGTTAAATCCTGGGAAAAAAATTGTTTCTTACAGAGCTGATCCTTTGTCCAACCTGGTTCTGACCTTTAGCACCAAAGAAGACGCCGCTGCCTTCGCGGAGAAAAATGGTAGGTTTGGTCTGTTTGTTTGGCTTTAACTAATGAAATGAAGATAGGAATTTATGTTCTTAACATTAATCAAAACCAGTCAGGAATACAGAATTTGAGTTGAAAGAAATTTTTCAATGTATCTAATCCAGTGGTTTTAAGGATTTTACAGCAGAATACCCCTTCCAAAAAAAAAAATCTGAACTGGAATGCCCATGAACATGGAAGAGCCAAGCTGCTCTAATCTGAAGTAGAGACAGGGAACAGAACTACTTGTCTCACCGTTGCCCTGCTTATGAGTCCCTCCGCAACACCACTGACATTTCGTGTTCAACTCTAATTGAACCTTTCAGTTTTGATACCTCTTTGCTATTTTCTTTCTTACTTTGAACCGAAATCCCCTGTCTATTATTCCACGTCCTTTTCTCTCGGGCTGTGTTATAACTGAGTCTAAGTGTGCAGTGTTTATGAAGTCTACAGGGGTGCACAGTATAATGTTTGAGGCCTTCTCACTCACTCACCACTCACCCCAAGCAGCCCTCAGTCCTGTAGGTGACATTCATGGTCAGTGCCCGATGTCTTTCACACCGTATTTTCACTCTACCTTTGATATGTTCAGATGGGTTTAGATACACAAATACCATTGTGTTACAGTTGCCTACAGTATTCAGCACAGCAACATGCTGTTCAGGTTTATAGCCCAGGAGCAGTAGGCTCGACCACAGAGCCCACGCGTGCAGTGGGCTGTGCCATCCGGGTTTGTGTAACTGCCTCTGTGATGTCCGCACAACAAGGAAGTCACCCAACAATGACGCAGTTCTCAGAAAGTGTCCCCATCATTAAGTGGCTCATGACTGTATTGGTTTATGTTGATCTTGCTTTTAGGAAAATGAAAAAAATGTCTTTTTCTTTTCCTTCTCATTGTCTGTTGTTAAGCTATGCAAAACTGTAGTGAAAAGAAGGTCTGGATTCAGACCAGTCTGAATTCTGATTCTAATTGTGCCACTGTGAAGCTACATGACTTTGAATAAATTTCATAATGAACTTAATGGTTTTTCATTGTTGAACTAACAGTCATTTCATGGTGTGCCTAGTTTAGTACGTAATAGACACTTGATAACGCTCTCTGCTGTTTGCCTTGCTAAGACTTAAATGCACTGCTGTACATTTGTACCTAGTGCATTCTGTGGTTCTAGTTGATCAAATTGAATTGGAATCTAATTCAGTTATCTGTTTGATGAGAAAATGTCTGTTTAAGTATTCTGTTACTACAAGGCAGTATATAAGTGTAAAAGACCATTAGTGTTATCTAACACATTTGATGTAAATGTAAAAGCACTACACAAGTTATGTATGTTGGCTTTGCACCCAAGTTAGTATTGTATACTGTGATCTGGAGTCTGGAGCCACACTGCTTGGGTGCAAATCTGTGTTGGGTCTCTTACTATTTGTATGACCTTGTACTTCCATTTTCTCCTGTATACAATGGGAATTGTAGTGAGGACTGAACGAGGTAAGTAAAAGTAGTGTTTAGAACATAGTTAAGTAGCTATATAATAATACATAAATGTATCCTGTTAGTAGTAGACTTATAAAAACGTTAAAAAAATTATGTAAGTGTAATTCCTTATTAACACTTTTTTTGGGAAATTTGAAAACTTTAATTACATAATTGTTTTCCAAGTGCTCATAGTCTTGAAAATATTATTTTAATTTAAAATTAATATTGCCATGGTGTTGGGAAAATTGGACAAAAAAATGAAACTAGACCATCAGCTTACACCATACACAAGAATAAACTCAAAATGGGTAAAAGACTTAATTGTGACTTATGAATCCATAAAAATCCTAGAAGAAAATGTAGGCAACAAAATTTCAGACATACGCAGCAGAATTTTCACTGATACCTTACCTAAGGCAACAGAAACATAGGAGAAAATGAATACATGGGACTACATCAAACTCAAAAGCTTCTGCACAGCAAAAGAAACAACCACCAAAATGGAAAGGCAACCCACTCTATGGGAGAACACAATTGCCAATGATATATCAGATAAGGGGTTAATTTCCAGAATATATAGAGTGCTCATACAGCTCCACAAAAGGAAGACAAATAACCCAATTAAAAAATGGGCAGAGGACCTAAAGAGACACCTCTCCAAAGAGGACATACAAGTGGCCAAGAGACATATGAAGAAATGCACAACATCACTACTCATCAGAGAGATGCAAATTAAAACAACAATGAGGTATCACCTCACACCTGTCAGAATGGCCTCCATCAACAAATCATCTAACAACAAATGTTGGTGAGGGTGTGGAGAAAAGGGGACTCTAGTACACTGCTGGTGGGAATGCAGACTGGTGCAGCCACTATGGAAAACAATATGGTGTTACCTCAAAAAGTTAAAAATTGAATTGCCATTTGACCCAGTGATCCCACTGCTGGGAATATACCCTAAGAAGCCTGAAACACCCATCAGAAAGAATATATGTACCCCCATGTTCCTAGCAGCACTATTTACAATAGCTAAGATCTGGAAACAGCCCAAATGTCCATCAGTAGACGAATGGATAAAAAAGCAGTGGTACATATACACAATGGAGTACTATGCAGCTGTAAGAAAGAAAGAGCCCTTATCCTTTGAGACGACATGGAGGGACCTGGAAAGTATTATCCTAAGCGAAATAAGCCAAACAGAGAAAGACAAGTATCATATGATGTCACTTATTTGTGGAATATAGTGAACATAACAGTCTGAAGAACATAGTCCCAGAGACGTGGAAGTAAGGTACAGACTGACAATCCCCAGAAGGGGGGCGGAGATAAACCACAGAACTTATATGCATGTATGCATGACCAATGGACATGGACAACAAAGCTGGGGGCAGGGCGAGGAGGGAGGGGGAGGAGAATGTCAATGGGGGGAAAGGAGAAATATCTGTAACAAAAATAAATAAATAATAAAAGACCAAAAAAATTAATATTGCCCTCTTTTTATTAAACTGTTGGGGAGAAAAATTTTGTCTACCTTTCTAGGTTCTAATAATAAAATTAACATAAGAAATATTAACAGGAGAAAAACAAATTTAAACATACGTATGGGGCCCATAAGAATATGAGACCCAGGACAGGTCGTGCAGTTAAGGTTTCTGTGCTGTCCTGAGCTAAGGAGTGCGATGGGACTTGGGCTCCGGGGGCGGGGCGTAGTTCACAGTTTGTGGAGAGCAGATGTTAGTTCTGCCATGCGGGTAGGTCATTCACCTATAAGTGGCTTCTGGTAATAGCTCTCTTTCTGGGCTTGGCCACCTATCTGAAGTCTTGTAGGTAGCTAAGGGAGAGGTTAAAAGTTTTTCTGTGTCTGCTGGGCTTAATGACCTTCAGCTCAGAATGACCCACATGTCCAAGTGGCACATTTGGGGCCGTGTATTCATTCCCCTTCACTGACTCGAGCTCCTCAAGAGCAGTCTGCTGATGTTCGCTGTATGTGTAGCCTACCATATTCTATGTCTGACACCTTTCGAGTCTTCATTTGAGGTCTGCAGTGAGAGTTTAGTAACAGGAAGTCTGATTAAACGTGAATCTGGTAGTGTCTCCCTGAGTGGTCACAGAGCACAGACTGCAGTTGTCACTGAGTTGCAGGTGTGAGCTAGCCACTGCTACCTTTGCAAGCAGGTGCTTTTCCAATCTGATGTCTGTCACCCAGGAAAGAAAATTGAGGACATTATCACAGCCAATGAATACCATAACTTGAAAAAGCATAGTGGATAAACCCTTATAAAACTCCAGGCTAACAGCAGGTCAGGAATTTTAACATACAAGGTAGTAGGAGTTATATCCTAGTCACTGCTTTGTGCCCGGTACTTAGCACAAAGCCCACATGACACTGGATACCTGGCCAACTTGTGAGCTTTCTAATACGCATTTCTCTATTCAAGAATTTGAGGCCACTCTTATTTCCTGGGATTATTTCCTCAGTGATTTTTTCACCTTGACTTTGCTGCATTTATTTTAATATTCAGCATTATATATCTTTAGTTAAGTTCTGTTTCTCTGTCTCTTGTAGCAGTAAGTCCACACACACTCCAGGGAGTAGTACATAATTGTGGGGTGAAGGGTCTTTTCTAAGCTGCCTAGCCCCCCTCCATTCTTTCTTGCTCTGCTGTATGCGTGGCTAGTGGTGGGGACATGAACACGGACCTCTCCTCCCTCACGCCATCTTGCTGTGCCCGCGCTGCTGGGCATTGGGTGGCCCAGTGCTCAGGTAGATGGAGGCCTGAAGAAGTGATTCAGAAGCGCTGATATGTGACGACTGATGGACTAAGAGGCTGGTAACGGGGTGCTCGTTTCTTCTTGCCCACCTCACGAGAACGCTGAGCCAGCCGAGTTCCGCTGTGCTCAGCCGTGGTGAGCGTGCCCGGTGGAAGCGAGGAGTGGGTTCGGGAAGGCCCCACAACCGCAGGCCTGCAGGCCCGGGCCCGTCTTTCCTCCTCACTGTCGAACCCAGGGCCTTGTGTTTTTGTTGATATGGATGATTCTGTGTTGACAGTAAAATTTGGCAAAGGTTTGCTGATAAAATTTGACAAACATTTATCAGTATTGAATGATTGCCTTTCAGGAGCATCTAGAAATTGGAGGTTAGGGTAAAACCACCACACACACAAGTTGTTGACTTGAGGACTGTTCTGAAAATGAAAAGCCTACCTTTCATTCCTTTCTCAGTTTTCTCATTTCCCTTACTTTTAAATGGTTAAAAAGTCCAGGACCAGTATTTCCCTCGACAGGAAAGATTATATCGTAGAGCATCAGTGTAACGAGGAACAAGACTTTCAGATTCGGTTGCTCTAGAAAACATTTTTAATTATATTTCTGACTCAGATAATGAACATCATCACAAAAGCTGACATGCACGAACACTAGGTTATGCACTAGACACTGTGCTAAGTACTTTTCATGCTAATTTAACCCTCTCTACAGCTGTATGGAGCAGGAACAGTCACCCAGTTTATAGTTCAAGGAA